CATAACTGATTTAAACATTGAGCATAACTGATTTTTCAATAGCAAACTGTTAAGAATATATATGTATATATATATATATATATATATATATATATATATATATATATATATATATATATATATATATATATTTATATATATATATATATATATATATATATATATATATATATATATATATATATATATATATATATATATTTATATATATATATATAAATACATACATACATACATACATACATACATACATACATACATACATACATACATACATACACTAGAAAACCTATATATGTACTAATTGCAGCTAATAATCTCAGATGAGACACATTTTAAGTTGCCAGAGCAGGTGGGCAAACTCAATTTGTTAGGGTTTGGTTACTCATCCTAAGGCCAATAACTAGGTGTGTATATATACACCTATATATTGGTCTTAGTATGAGTAAATGACAAGCAGTATAAAGTTTTGATAAACAAGGTCATGGATAAACTTAAAAGATTTTGATAAATTATTAGGTTTTTTATATTTTTACAATACTATTTTCTTTTTGCTCTGTTTGTTGGGTGCTATAGTAGGTGTTTGTTGGGTAATATAGTTCTACATTTTAATTTATGTTTTTTTTATAGTTTTAGTTATAAGTAAGAACTTTATATTATTTAGAGATTTCAAGTTCACCAAACAAAGATACCAACATTTCTTTCAAAAAAGGTATTTATTTTAGTTGTTATTTTCTTTGTTTCCTTTGAAAATAGTAAAAAAAAATTATATTCATTTCATTAAGTTTTAACTTTTACATTAAAACTTCAACTTTTTTCATTTGTGTTTTAATGTCTACTTACTTCAGTTGCTAATCTTTTTCTAATTAATTTATTTAGTTGCTTATTTTATTATTGTTGCTAATCATCAATTTTGTTTATTGTGTTACTGGCTTATGTAAATTTATATCTAATTGGTTGCTTCAAAAAAATCTTTTTTATACAATGCTCACATAATAGTTTACTGATGAATAACACAAATTTATTGTACTACTAATTTAAGTTTTGCATTTATCAGGGATTTAAATAATAAATTTTTTTTATAATTTTATAAGGTTGATATAGATAAAACAAAAATTGTAATTAAATGTTTTATTTTATGAAACTATAAATTAGGACCCATGTCGATGGTAATATCATTAACAAAAAGCTTGTCGTCAAGGTGCAGTATTCTTGTTGCTTAAGTTTAGTGACATGATGCTTTAGTTTTGAGATATATTTGAGATATATATAAAGACAGTATCTTTATTTAAAAATTTCTTTGTAGTGGCAAGTTTGACTTTAAAAGTGTTAACACAATAAAATAAAATAAAAAGATGTTAATTGGATTCACTAAGTATGTTATAATTCCTATATGTAGCAGTATCACAATTGAATTCACTAAGTATGTTATAATTTCTAGATGTAGCAGTATCACAATTGGATTCACTAAATATGTTATAATTTCTAGATGTAATACTATCACAATTTTTACCAGTTGTAACTGTTTAACTTAAAATAGTAATGATAAATATATCTTTATTTTGGTAGCTAACAATAATAAATTCCAGTCCTGTTATGAATATTTTTTTATTGTTTAACATTTATGACTTATCTAGATTTGGAATAAATAAATAGACTATTGATTTTGTTGGTGGTTTTAAAGGAATTAATTACCAAAATGACACTTTTGTATATTTTCAGCCTGTAAAAAGTTTATTAATAACAATCCTTTGTAAATGTCCATGCTCTAAAAGTGTTCACTACTCTTAATGATTGGTTAGTAAGTACGCTTGCAATTGAACTAGAACGAGTTAATAAAAAACTTATTAAAAGTTATCATTTTAACTCGTTTGAAGCTTTTTTTCTGTAAACAATACCTTATGACATTTGTTTTGGGTTATTGTATTATCTAGACCATGACACCTTTACGTCTCAGAATTTGTTCATTCTTACCTCACTTGCAGTCCATATTTAAAAAATAATATTTGCAAAAATTTTAGTTAAAAATACACATGGGTTCCAGAGATTTTGTCAGTTAAAATAATGCTAAATCAGCATTTTAGTGATTATCTGAAGCAACTTTGACATATAGTATCTTCATAATGGCTCGGGGAAGTTTCCTAAAATTTATTACCCTAATAGATTTTTACTGGCGGAATCCAAATGACTTGTAAATTCATGATATTTGGAGGTAAAATGAAGTCTATAATATTGAATAAATAGTTTAATTGCATATCATTATTTTATCTTAGGTCTACTAAATAAAATTAGATTCATCAATTGTCTCTAATACTTGATCAAAATTTGCGTTTACAAATTTTGTCTTTTTAGAAAAATTTTAATTTTGTTGCAAAAGCAATTGAAATGTTTTTAATATCATTTGTTTGAATAAAAATATCAAATAGTGTTATTTATTGACTAGTTTAGGACATTTATAGTCTGCCCTCCCCCCAATCTCCCTGGATTTTTTTTTTTATAAATTTTATTGATGCATTAAATGATATAATAATAAATAATTATTAAAATTCAATTTAAAAACGCAATTTTTTTTTGTTAGTTTTAGTTTGAAAAACAATTTTTGTTTCATTATTTCAATTCAAATCGGAGAATGCTTACCTTTTTTTTATACCAAAAACATACAAATGTTTTGTTTTTTTCTTTTTAAAGGTTGTACTTTACCACTCCTTCATATATTGCAAAAACACGAAGTAGATACTTGAAAAACTGTAAAGAAAATCTTAACCAAAACGAAAGCATAATTTTAGGAGATTTTGCTGAAGTTATTAATATGTTGTTCAGGATGAGGTTTAAAGTTATCACTGGAGTAAAAGTCAATTTTCACTTTTTACAATTGTACTCTATTTTTTAGAGAAAAAAGTTTTCCAACACAAATCTTTTTGTTACCTTTTAGAAGATGTTAATCACAACACAGGATATATTTACTAGGCTCAGGAAGATATAACTATATATATCAAAGAAAATCTACCTGATGTATCAAGCGTGAAATACTTTTCCGATGGTTTTGCAGCACAATTTAAAAATTCTAAAAACTTTATCAATCTTTGTCATCACAGTAAAGACTTTGATTTAAATGCTGAATAGGTATTTTTTGCTACCAGTCATGGTAAATCCCCTTGTGATGGTATTGGTGGGACTGTTAAAAGAGTAGTATGTCAAGAAAATCTAAAACAAATCACTACTGGGCAGATTTTAGATGTTAATTTAATGTACTCTTTTTGTAAAACCAAGATGAAAGGAATTTGTTTGAAATTTTTTTCTAAAGATGAAATTGACCAAACATGAGCACAATTAGAAAAAAGATATTTAGGTGGAAGAACAGTTCCTGGCACAAGGACGTATCATCATTTTATTCCAATTGCTTTTAACACTAAAGTTATAAAAAAACAAGTATCGATACAGGTATTGAAATTTTTGATATCATTCCAAAAAGCAAACATAATAAAGTGATTTCATTATACATTAAAAAAATGGATTATATTGCATATTTTTTTGACGGATTTTGGTGGGTAGCAATTGCTTATATAGGCAGTTGGTTAAAATCATGAAAAGATCTTAGTTTTGAGTGCTTACTTTATATAAAGATATTGATTGTTAAAATGTTTGATTGTTGTTAAAATGTTGAAAACATTTCAATATTTTTGGTTTTAAAATTTATGATTTTTAAAATCGTGAAAAGATCTTAGTTTTGAGTGCTTACTTTGAAATAAGAAGTCAATAATGAAAAAAAAAATGTTTCTCAAACTAAAAAAAAAAATGTTTTTAAATAAAATTTTAATAATTATTTATTACTATATCATTTAATGCATAAAAAAAATTTAAAAATATTAAATAAATCCAGGGAGACTGGGAGGAGGAGGCAGAAATCGTCAGAGGCCCCCTAGTCCTTCTTTGGCCTATGACTATAAATGTCTAGTCAATAAATAACACTATTTAATGTTTTTATTCAAACAAATGATTTAAAAAACATTTCAATTGCTTTTGCAACAATATTAAAATTTTTTTAAAAAGACAAAAATTTTTTAAATGCAAATGATCAAGTATTAGAGAGACAATTGATGAATCTAATTTTATTCAGTAGACCTAAGATAAAATAATGATATGCAATTAAACTATTTATTCAAGATTTTGGACCACAGTCTTCATTTTACCTCCAAATATCATGAATTTATAAGTCAATAATTTTGAACAAAATTGGATAAACAAGGCATTTCCTGAGATAGTCGAGTCTTGAGGGTGCTCTTTTTGGATTCCGCAAGTAAAAATCTATTCGGTACTAAATTTTAGGAAATTTCCCCAAGCTATTATAATGATACTATATGTTGCATTGTAGTTGCTTCAGATAATCACTAAAATGCTGATTCAGTATTATTTTAACTGTCAATATCTCTGGAACCTATGTGTATTTTTAACTAAAATTTTTACAATTAGCATAATTTTTAAATATGGACTGCAAGTGACGTAAGGGTGTCGAAATTTTTTTTTTTTTCTGATGATTTCATACGGAATTACCCTGCAATAGTAGTGTAGTGGCACTTTTGAAATCAGGTTCGATGATTACATCATTTTTCATTAAAAATTTTTTGAAGGTTTTAATATGCACATTTTGGAAAGCAGCTATAAAAAATTTTAAAGTAAAATTTTGTTCATAAAAATTTTTCAAGCACAAATATTTTAACAAAAAACAACTTTATTTTAGGTGTAAACTGAGTTTTATATTCATTAATTCTCATAGTTGCTAAAATATAAAGAAGGAACAATCTTTTTTAACTAACTTTTTTTAAACTAATTTACTCCAACTAGGCTGCAGGCAACTACTTTTTATGTTGGGACCTCAGAAAACAAAAGTATTTTTAAAATGCAAAAAAATAGTTGACATTTTAATCAAAAAACCGTTAATTGTATCTGCTAGATTTCAAGTTTTTTATAGTAATTTATAAAAAAATTGATTAAAGTTGCGAAAACATATCATAAAAAACAATAAACTGATATATGAGATAATGGAAGACAGTTCCAATAAAAAGTATATTTTAAATATTTGTAAAATTGCATATAAAATGTTTGTTAACAATAAAATAATTTTTTCCAAAGATGAAATTCAAGCTTTTACTAATGACTTTGATAAAAATGAAGTTAATTTCTTTGGATTTATAGAAAGGATTGAAATAGATCTTGGTTGTTATTATCAATTTGTTCATTTGACAATAATGGAGTTTTGTGCATCTGTATATGCATATAATTGTTTAAGTAGTGATAAGATTGTGGCCAATAAGAGGCTGAAGAGTTGTTTATCAATGATTTGTGGATTAGCCAATAAAAACCCAAATAGTTTATTAAAGTTTCTTGTTAACCTGGATTCTTCAAAAAAAACCTATAAAGAATCTTCATTTTTGTTTTCTATTTTGGGTAAGTTTACGAACTTTGTTGCATTTTGGTAAGCCTATTTTAGATATTCATTCAGGTGTTTACTAAGTTGTGTACTAATATAGAGCAGTGCTTTTCAACTCTGTGCCTCCATGCACATTAGCGCCCGGGAAATGATTTGTATGTGTCTGCCACTATAAGGGAGTGAAATTTTTCATAAATATTAATTAAAATGCTAAATACTTTTATTTATTTGATAACGTTTTAGTTATTTTAATTGCCTAGGTTTATTAAATACATTCATATATTTTCAATAATGTATGTATGAGTGCTTCCTTTGCTGACAGTACTTGTCGCAATTTGTTTCATTGCAAGCCATATGCTATCCTGTGTGGGAGTGCTATTAGCACATCAATTTGTTCATGCAGAAAACCTGAAGTAGTCACATGTATGTACTGTCCTGATTAAAAATAGGTAGTGCTTACCACCCTTTCGATATTTTAGAATGTTTTATAGAGTTCAAAAAGGTTGAAAACCCCTGATATAGAGCTTTTTTACTTTATTTTTTTTTACAAGAGATTGAATGGTTAAAAATATTTTTTTTCATTTATGTTTAAGAATATTAAGCAAGTTTTCTAAAAAAATTCATCAAAAAAATTCTTTATGTAATATGACAACAAAAATAAATAAATTCATTGTGTGACCCTTGCTTGTTTTATAAATGCTGGAGGTTGTTGTTATTGTGGTTTTGGTTGTTTTTAGATAAGACTTTTTATTTATTTTTTTTTTGGAGGAAGGCAGGGTTTTTTTTTTTTTTTTATTAAGTTAACCAATAGTTTCTTCTTAAAGAAACAAAACATAATTTAAAAATTCACAAACTGTTTGCATAATCTTATATATGTATACCAAGCTGTTCAAAGGATGAGTCACCCAAACAAATTGCCGCGGACCCTATGGGGGCCCCAACAGCAGCGATAACATTCCGGTTTTTTTTCCTTCTTTTTTTTTCCACATCAATAGCATTAAGTTAAATAATAATAAAATAGCTCATAAAATTTAATGAAAATTGTCGCAAAAAAAACTCAATATCTAATACTTCTTTTTTAAAAATAAATTTAGTGTTGCGTAAGTTATTTATGATCTGTTAAGGAGCTGTCCATAATTGTCAACAAAATAGGAAGAAGGATCAAGGTCTGAATTTTTTTGACATTGGTTTACAAGTGGAGGTCAAGACAAGTTGACATCAACAATGTTACTTTTTTTTTTTAATTTAGTTACGCTAAAAATGAAAAATTAGGCAGTTTGCAGTTCTGTGTTACATACTCGCTAACCTTCAGTATTTTAATAAAGCTAGTTGTATTCCTACTTTTTCAAAACCGTGTTGTGCTTTAAAAAGAACCGACACTAAGTGTTTCATTACTTAAAGTTTTTCGAAATTAGTCATGTTACATGCACAACAGGGTAAATAATGAACTAAAAAAAAGTCTGTAAATTTTTAAAAAGTTTTAAAATATTATCTAGAGGTCGTCGTCTTAAAAATAAAGCGTTTTTTACTCTTTTTTTTTAACTTTAATTTTAATTTAAACATAAAATGACGTTAGTTATTAAAAAATAATTAATTTCTTAATATGTTACTTGGTGTATGTAATAAAGGTTATTAGATGAACATTTAGCTAAATTTTCAAAAAAATTGGTAATGTCTAAATAAATAATTTCTTATTATGCCGTATTATAAAGTTTAATTTTTTTAACATATTTTTTTGCTAAAAAATTCTTTAAATGCTTCAAAAAACTTAATACTTTAAATAAAATGCAAAACTTAAGTTTCGAGCATAATTGACCACTAAACATTGTTGCATAATTAAATAGTTTGCAAAATAAACATCTGTATGTATATAAATTTCATAAATTTATTTAAAAAAAAGTTGGTTATTATATTAATTAGCAAAATTGAAATTTTAAAAATAATTTTAAAACTAATTTATTGGATAAGAAAATATTTTATTATGACAATGAACGTTAGAAAAATAATCAAGATTTAATTGGTTAATAAATAAGAAGTTTAATTGGTTACCCTGAAACCAATAAACTATCAAGCTTTGTAGACACTCTCATTTACATTTATATTCAAAAAACGACACTTCTGCAAGAGATATTATTAAACTTGTTTTTGGTGAGCTTAAGGAAGTTTGGAAAAAAGCTGCAATACCGATTCGATTAGATAATTTTTGTCATTCATTGCTTACCCAGTTATTGGGGGAAAAGATGAAAATAAAAATACTTGATCAAGCAAGTTGAAATTTTAAAGCTGGAAAAGAAAAAATTGTAAGATTTTGTCATGAACTTGAGCAACTTTTTAATAAGTTATTAATATCACATAGACCAAAATGGAAAGAACAGCAAATTAAAACTTTGTAATTGCAACTTTTGGCTGTTCTGTCTCATTAGGTTGCTTTCAATTTTTATTAAGATAAATATTGCTGAAAAATTGTTGACGTATATAATAGACAGCCTCTAATCCTGGTTTGGAAGATCTTCTGTTTATGCAAGTTTTGGAAAGATACCTTTTGCCCCTTTGACTTATTAAACAAAATTTATGTAATGAAACTTGAGGAACTCTTAAGAATTGTAGTGATTGCTTCAATTCCAGTGACAGTGGCCTCAAGTGAGCGTTTATTCAGTAAATTAAAGCTCATCAAGAATCTTTTGTGCTTAACTATAGAACAAGAACAAACAAGTGACCTTGCCATCTTGAAAAATTTAGGCGGGTCTTTTTTTTTTTTGAGTAAGGAGCCCTTAATTCCTGGGCATGGCCCTGTATATATAAATCCTTCAAAATTAATTTAACCCATAATTAATTAATTTAACCCTCTTATATATTTTCTTATATGAAAATATGTTTTTTTTGGACAATATATCTTTCTAATTATTGTAGATAAATATTAGATAAATTGTAGATAAATATAAATAATTATAGAGTGTTTATTACAATATTTTGTTTTTGATTTAGTACATATAAATGTTTTATAAAAAATGTTCATAAGATAAATTGTTCATAAGATAAATGTTTTATAAAAATTGTTCATAAGATAAATGTCTTGAGTTCACTTTTATGAGGATTTTAACAACTAACTTAAATTCTTTTCTTTGCATGAAATAACTTTTAAAATCCATTCAACGAGAAGTTTAAATTTTTTCCCTATAGAAAATGTTGCAGTATACCTACACTGATAAACATTTTGAGAGCAAAATTAAAAATTACATTGGTAATAACAAGTGTTAACATTTGTAATAACATTTAGAATAAATAACTTGAAAACAATAAATTTTCTAAAATAAAGTCATTATCAGTTTTAGAGGTAGTTTACAAATTTTATTCAAGTTTTTATTTTATATCTAGTTTTTATTTGTGTAATTTTGTATTTTGTATGCTCAATTTAAATATTTAAAGAATTTTATGGTTTAAATTTTTTCTATAAACTACATTGACTTTAAACAACATAAAATTAAAAATAAATTCCTTGAAAAAATTTTTTTTTATTGTGAAACTTTTTATTTGTTATGTTCATTTCTTATATTAGCTACTTCAAAGTAATAATTTATATATATATATATATATATATATATATATATATATATATATATATATATATATATATATATATATGTATATATATATATATATGTATATATATATATATATATATGTATATATATATATATATATATATATATATATATATATATATATGTATATATATGTATGTGTATATATATATATATATATATATATATATATATATATATATATATATATATTATTTTCATAAGTACGAAATTATTCTGTTACCATTGTTATTATATATACATTAAACTTCACACTGGTAACAAATACTTTTAAAAATTCGTAAGTAAGTATTCTTCAGTTTTATATTCGTTTATTTGTTTTTATTAAAAAAGTTTATGTTTTAAAACAAAATTTATATTGTTACAAAACCTTAACTTACGACGACTGTTTTTCGTGTTAATTTGATGATAATAAGTATTTTTTTGTTGTTGATATATTAGTTAAATTAGATTATAAATATACAAGATTAAGGTGCTAAAATGTGTAAACCTTTGAATTTAATGTAACATTTTTTATAATATTTTGATTTCTATCTCTAAGCTTATTTTTTTTAAAATATAATATAGCAAATAGATACGTGTTTTTACAATGTTCAAACTTTTTTTATATTTAATCTCTTGGAAATGCGATAGTTGAGTTTGAAAGAGTAAGTTTTTTTTATGAAAAGGTAAATCGAAAATAGATTTAGAATATTATAAATTAAGATTTAAAAAATATGTTAAAAAATAAATCAACTTGCCTTCAAAATGTTAGTGGTGCAAAAAAAAAAAATGCATATTTATAAACCTTGAAAAAATTCTTTTATGAAGTATAAGGTAAGACCTTCGTCACAAAAACTCTACGCTACAAAAAATATATTTTCATCGTGTAGAATTCATTGATTTACAAATTTTTTTACTTTAAAAAATGTTTGGCATGCTTTAGTATGCAAAAAAACTAGTACAGTATGATAATGGTATGTAAGTACCTATGCCATACTAATTTTAAAACATACTGAGCTATTATTTAATTGCATTTTTAACCGTTTATTTTTAATCGTTCGTCTAAGTTTGATATTTTAGAAAAAACCTGTGTTTCTTTTGCAAAAAGTTTCAGAGAAATATGATTTACATGAAACAATTGTGAATGAGGAATTATTTTCTTGTTTGCGTTAAAATGATTGTTTCATGGATTTAATTTTTACTTTTTAAAATAAAATGTCGTTTGATGTGATGTTATTGTGATTTTTAAATTCAATCGGTTTATCTTGTTTGTTGCTTGTTTTTATATATTATATATTTTACATTTTGTAGCTTTAATGATGAAATTATGTTGATTTTGATGTGTAAATGTCTCATAATTATGAATCTTTTATGTGTGTGAACAACCGTTTTAATTTTTGTTGTGTTATTTTAAATATGTTTAATTTATAACTTATATTTAAATTATTTTGTTTTAGAAATTATTATTTTCATTATTTGGTCATTTTTATAATTGATATAAAGATTAATAAAAATTATATGTATGAATATGTAGAATATTATAATGTATATAATTTTATAATTTTGATTATTATTTTTATTATTTGTTCATTTTTCTAATTAATATTTAATTTTACATTAGATCGTCTAAAATGTATTGTATAAAATATAGTCTATTTAATAAAAATAAAAAATTGTATGTTTTTTATTCAATCATTAGTTAATAAAAATTATATGTATGAATATGTAAAATATTATAATGTATATAATGTTATAGTTTTGATTATTATTTTTATTATTTGTTCATTTTTATAATTAATATTTAATCTTATTTTAGATCGTCTAAGTAAAAGTGATAAAAGAAAAGATTACCATGATTTATTCATTGAATGTTTTTATGAAAGTCAATCATCATTTAATGATGAAATTAAATCAATTGTTGATAAAAGATGGCGGTGGAAGATTTGGATTGACAATAGAAAAACTTCTTACTTAACTTCTTGCGAAAATTATTTCATAAATCATTACGTAAAATCTGGAAGAAAGTTATGGTGTTTACGTGTTAATAAAAATATTTTAAGTGATGAAGAAAAAAAACTTTTAGTTCAATGTTCAACTAATGTTTGCAATGTCATCTTTTATCGTCCAAATAATTTCGAAGGATGGAAACCGAAAGATAAGATTGAAGTGTTGGGGATATGGATCTCAGATTATTTAATAACAAAAAAAGATTTTGAAGAAAATTTTCTTCCGTGGATTAATCTTTGTGAAGAATTATATCTTAAACTTCACAAAGACATTGATTTTATTAAAGAATTATATGAATGGATTCGTTGTTCGAATGTCGAGAAGTTTAGGATCACGTACCGTGGAGAATCTTTTGAAAACCTCGATGATTGAATGAAAACCTCGATGTATTAAAAAACTTTACAACACGATAAAATATTTAATACCTTAAATATATTAAATAAAAACAATAACTATAAATAACTAATGAAATATTTAATGTATTATTTTATAATAAATACGTTTTTAAATATACAAATTAATTTCACTAGTTTATTAGATTTAATATTTAAATGTTTAATTTTTTACTATTAAAATATTTTATAAATAATTCGTTTTCAAATATATTAATAGTTATAATTATAATATAAATTATTAAATAATTTATCATAGTATATAAATTTTCATATATATTATTATTATTATTAATAATATTATACTTGTAAAGTTATAAATTACGGTACATGAATTATTGTTGTTTTTTTTAAATATTATATTTTCAGTTTTTAATTATTATGTTCTTAATATATAATTTTTTAAATAATATTGTTTATAAATACAAATATTTATATATTTGTTTTAATAAGTAATAAATGTTTGTTTAATATTTTATTTATATTATTATGTTTTGTTATGTTTAAGAATTAAATTAAAAAATTTAAATATGCAAATTAAAATAAAATGTTAATTTTTTTCATTTTATTATCAATTTCTTTTTAAATAATATCGTATTTAAGATAAAGTCATAAATTTTTAAGTTGATTGAATTTTGAATAAAACAACTTTTATTAGATTTACACTTTTTATACACCTTTTACACAAATTTATGTTTATAAACAAATAACTTTTCAAGGTTTTCGCCATTGTTTCTTGGAGAGATCAACAAAATAAAAAAATTCGATGGTTTAGTAGAATTTTTCTTCGAAGATTTTTAGTTCGAAATTTCATTTTTATCTGACGTTTTTACTCAATTTTAAACTGACTTTAAATTTCACTTAATCGATCAAAATTTTTTATATAAAATGTTAATAAATATTAAAACAAATATTTTAAGTTAAAATACTTTTTTAAATGGTTTTCAATTTTGTTGTAAAAAGTTTTGTTCTCTCTCCATAAGTAGCAGTTTTAAACCGTGATTTTAATTACCGTGAACTATAATATTTAGAAAATATAGTAAAAAACAATGGAAGAATTTAAACTACGTTTTAAGCTAGAAAGAATTAAATAAAAACCAACTAAACATTTAATCTTTTTTAGAAAAATTCAGTTTCAAGTTTAGACTAATAAACACCGCGTTTAAATGTTTCTAAAACCGCGAATGAAACTTTATTAAACGATCGTTATAAAAATAAAAGTTTTTTAAACAAAAAATAATTTGAGTACGCAAGTTTTGATTTTCAAAAGTTACGCGAACATTTTCAATGCCAAAGAGATAAATGTTGGTCTTATGTTACGTTAAGACTATTTGTCACAAAACTGCAGCTAGTACTGTGACAGTTAAACCACAACTTTTTTGAACAAATTTAGTTAAGTTGAATAAAAACAATATAAATAAATGAGTTTTTTATATTTAAATTATAAAACTTTTTTATAATTTAAATATAAAAAACTATTTTAATTCAAAAAATCTTTAAAATTCTGTTTTTAATTTAAGAAAAAGTCATGTTTTAAAACCTTTTTTAAATTTTGAAACTTATAAAAAAACATTAAAACAATGTGACTTAAGGGGGAAAGCCCCCCCCCCCCCCTAAACATAAGTATTAAACATTTTAATCAAAATCAAGAATATAAAACATCAATATAATATGAATAAACAAAATCCTTGAATAAAAATACAAAATGGTTTTTGGTTGCCATAGTTACCACAAAAAACACATTAAAATGGGCAAAAAATGCATTCACACCGGCCTTAAAAACTAAATAACCATGCAAGATCTCTTAAAAAGCTTTTACCTAATGCTTCACAAAAGGTCAAAGGGTGTTTTAATAGCGGCATTTTCCTGTAACTAAAAATCTGAGCGATGTGTGCACATTTAAAGATGGTGAAAATATTTTTTATTCAAAATATCAAAAATAAAAAAATCTAAACCTCAATTTAAAAAACTGTTTGTATTAAACCACAGTTTATAATCATAAATACAACTCCAGAAAATTTCATCAAAATTGGTTAAACGGTTCTTGAGATAGAACGGCCGACGTGTGAAAAAAGACTATTTTGAGAAAACGCGAAAAGAAAAAAAAATTAGCCCCTAAAACTTTAAAACTTTAAGTAAAACACATACTATAGTTAAAATATCTAATAAAAAGTATTAGAAACCTCCTGCTTTATACAAATTCCCTTCTTTTTCTTTTTCTTTATCATTTTTGTTATGTTTTTTGCCACAAATTATTTTTCGTCGCAACTTGTTTTTATCAATATTTCTGTACTTAGAATGTAACAGTCGTTTATAGTTTAAATTTTTACAACCTTTAAGAGTATATACTCCTGGAATTATGTCCAAAGATTCATAAACTAAAATCGAGGCTTTTCGACCAATGTTAAAATTAGCTACTGCATCATAAACTCCAAATTCTAATTGACTAAATGATACAAATTTCGTTTTAGGTAAACGCTCCCAGATAGTACAATTAAAACTTTCATTAGTATTTTGTGTCTTACCATGTAAGTACTTTTCCAAATGTTGGTCAGCACTGAGTTCTGCAAAGATTGGTTTGATTTTATAAACAATAGAAATTGGTAAACCTGGTCCAGGTTTATAAGTATTTGTTCCATTGGTTTTATCTGAATTATATTTGCACCAACTATCAGCTCCTACTGGGCAATGTGGAAAGTGTAGATTATTCTCCTTATTGGAGGCAACATGATAAAGCGATGCCAGAGTACCAGCTTTCATAGATGCTAAATCTCCTACATTAGCTCTGATCGCAATACCAAAATAACTTTGCAACCGATCAATTGTCGCATCTGTTAAAATTGAAAAAAACTAAAAACCACCAAGGTTTTTAGTTTTTTTCTTCAACTTTCTTAATCTTGTACCGATACGTTTTTGATAATGTCCAACAAACTCAAGTTTTTTTACTTCCAAACCAGGGTAGACATTCATAACATTTAAATAGCTCTTACTGTCCCCATCATCTAAATAGTTTACATAGCGAAGTTTGCGTTTTGTAATAGAACGTTCAAATAATTTTTTCATACCAAGTGGCTCCATACCCCCAGCAGACCCTTTGTAGTCATATGCACACTTATGTACTCAGCAAACTGTAAAGGTTCACTTTTCTTTTTTGGTTCCATTAAAATACAAGCTTTACAAATTCTACTCATTGGTTCTATATCTTTCCACAATCAATAGATATTGCAGTCATTACGCCATTATATGATGAAAAACCTCGTCGTTGTTATGTCCCATCACATGAAACACCAGTATCAACAATATCAGTATTCGAATTGTGTCTGATTTCCGCAGTAGCATCACACATAGTTTCTATTGCTACTTTTTTCACAACTTTAGAGATTGTTTTAGCAAGCTTGTCGTAGTTATTTCTAGTCATTGGCGGAGGAATATTCATTAAAGAAGTGAATTTTTCAAGTCCTGCGTGACCATGACCCAACAACCGCATTGTGTAAATAGCTCGTTTATTTATCTCAAATCCTGCTAACTACTTTTTTTTGAAGTACAAAACTTTTTACGAAATAAACAATCTGAACATTTTAAAACTAAAAAAGAGGCAAGTCCATGTCGATCTTTTAAGTTGTCAGACAACACAAGAGAGTCTTCATTGAAGCACATTGAACAAATGAGTTCTTTAAAAATAACAGATAATACTTCTATATTCTATAATCCAGACAATAGAGTAGAAGTTTCAACTACATCAATTTGTCGTATTTTTGAATGTGATGCTGGAATATTTACGATATTATCAGAAGCGTCATTTTTATTTTCATCACTCAGGCAGTGAACCACAGTCTCATTATTAATTAAAATATTAACAATTGGAGTAGATTCTTTATTTACACTATCAACAACAACTTCTTCTTCATAAATTAATGATTTTTTAACTGGAAAAGATCTACACCTTTTCCTAGCAAGATTAGTTCGACGTTTTACTCTACAACTTTTTGGCATTCTTGTTAAATTAAATTAAATTAGTATGAGTGCGTTTTGTCTCCTAATCTCGCTTACTTTTGCTTAGCTGAACAAGAAGTATAATAGAATGAAGCATCCTAACCCAAGTTAGGCATTTTACATCAGCTTTTTTTTTTTTTTTTTTTTTTTTTTTTTTTTTCAAATACGACAAAAAATTACACTTTCGATATATCGAAACATCAACTCACCATTAAAAAACCTTAAATTTCTGCACTTTAAAATGATTTTTATGAAAAACAATTACATAAATGAAATCTATAGTAATTTTCATGTCTAAAAACGGTCATACTAAATTTTTGTTTTTTTGATGATTTTAGGGGAGTTTCCCCCTTAATGTATGGATATATTAAATTCCCGTTAACCAACAATGTCATGATTGTTGTTTATAATGGCAGTTTAAATCGTGACATTAAACGCAAAAGTAAGTTCTAAAGAATAAAGTAAACAAAAAAAACTCTTGAACTGTTGTTCATTTTTTAAAGGTTTTTGTAAAAGATATGAAAGCTTTGAATGTTTATCAACTTAATATTTTAAATATTTTATGCTTTATGTTCAAGTGTAAAGAAAATTTATCTCTACAGGTATTTCAATATCTTTATTCTTTAAAACCGAAACACAAATATAATTTATGAATTGACAACAATCTTAATGCTCCTTTTTGCAAAACTAAATACGACGAATTTTGTATGTCCTATCGTGGACCTCTTCTTTGGAACAAAATAGTTTTACCTAATTTTGACTTTTCAATCAAACTAAACTACTCCTCATTCAAAACCAAAATTAAAGAAATTATCTTTTCAATTGAAAACATCTTTATCTATTTTTGAGTTTTTATCAATTTATTGCTGATATATTATACTTTATTGTATTATGTTTTACTATTTACGAATATTTCCATGAGTTCTTTGCAAACTTATGTATATAATGGTTTGTATTTTATTACTTTTTATTACTGTGTTTTGTTAAACTTCATATTATCTTTGTTATTTTATGAATTTTTATAACTTCATTATAATATTACGTATTTATATTATACTCGATACTAAAATGCATAGTAAAGGGCTTCATGATAAGATCCTCA